AAAAAACGGAACGTAAAAACATGAATAATTCGACTGAATAAGTGTAGTTCATTTGCGTTGATGTTTAATAGTGCTACAATGAAAAGTTGCCAAATTTTCATTGTTTTCGTGTAACGCCCCAGACTAAGAAACATCTTTTGCCTCTTAATTTTCCTATGTTCTTGTGCAATTGAGTGCCCTCGTGTGAACACCTTAAGGGACTAGTCCCTGCTACCGGTCCCCTCGTGTAAACCCTTCAAAGACTTGTCGCCGGGACTAGTCGCACGGACTAGTCGCACGGACTAGTCCCCTCGTGTGTGCCGACCTTAAAGATAACAGGAGGGAGTGAAAGCTCTGTCATTGAACTCCAGTCCTCCTGTTTTATTCTTTTTATATCAAGAACTTTAAAAAAATAATCTGGCGCCGTTTGAATTACAACCTCTAAAAAAAGAAAACTATATATCTTAAGATAATGATCGTACATGTAGCTACTCGGGTTACTTATATGCAGACTTCGTACTAGACCTGTGATGCTTTTAAAATTTCATTGCTTAAATATTTTGAATTTTAATAGGTTCCTTTAGTGTGTCATCTCTTGCACATCGATTTCATTATTTTCTGTTCATGTCATATTTTAGATATTTGATATTTTAGATTTCTCATATTTCATATTTCAACCGTGAGTTTTTACTTATTGATAACGTGATTACTTATTTTATACATTGTTCATTCAGTTTGAGCCTGGAGGCAACGTGATGGTGCTTATATCAGTCTTGCCAATGCCTTAAAAAAGAATGATCGGAGAGACCTTTTTGAAGAATAGTGTCTCGACGGATGTGATCCACGCTTAAAGGGAACTGAGCAACTGCGTAAGTTTCCAGATAATTTCTTGAGTTATTCTGGCATTAACTATAACTACAAAACACTGCTTTTTTGACTTGCTTGTTGACCCATCAGACAACTGAGGGTTAACATTCTATTACCGTAGGTTCCAAACCCTGACCCCACTCAGGAAAAGATAACCCTTTCATAGTTGTGTTTATTTTAGAGTTAAGATAGCTGACAAAGGGACTTCTGCCGCCAATAGGTGAAAACCTATCGCTCTACGAGAGATAATTGTAAGCACTATGGGAAAGACTTCTTCCTTTTGGCAACGACGTCCCATATTATCCCTTGAACCAACAAAAAAAAAAACTGTTTTCCATGATATCGCTCACTGTTCACGTTTACGTGTACTCAATGACTTGTTTGTTTCTTTCTTTCTATTTTTTTTAATTTGAAGCCACAAACCTGAAGCAGGGACCTGTTAGCGACGACGACCTTTTGGATATTTCTAGTAAAGTTATAGAAAAACGTAAAAGATTAGGGAGAGCCCTTGGGTTAAAAGATGAGGAATTGGATGTAATAGCGGAAGAACATAGGCAGAAGATATCTGAGCAGTCCCAACAGATACTTCTGAAATGGAAGAATTCAAAGAGGCGTAATGAAGCCACTTACCATGCCCTTGTACTACCTTTGTATGATCGCACCGTCATGATGTTCAATGTTGTGAAAGACAATTGTCTTTCGTCACCTAGCTTTTAGGCCCACATGGGGAATTAGAACATGAGTTCATACTTGTAACAATCAGTCATCCTTGTTACGGTTATTTAGTTTCCTTCATAGCCCTCAGTGCAGGTGTCTTAATACGGCGAAAAAAACAATAAGAAGCGCGCGCTCTTTTATTGAACCGGCCAATTTTATTTGGAGTTAGAGTCGACGGTATGGGAAGAGGGCGTGAAGTGGCAAATAACTCTCCCACTCTCAACCCCTCTTTATATTTTCACTCTCGCTCACCCCCTTGGTACAAATTTCTTTCTCTCCCCAGCCTTCCGCTTCCATTAAAATCAAACATGACGGCCATAATTTTCCTTAGAAAATACTGAGCACTCGCTCGCTAAAATTACAGTTGCTCTGCAGGCTATTACCTTCATTACGTCAAATTAGCTGACTTTGGAAAAATTTTTGATATTGTTTATATTTCTGGACGAGGAAAAACACACTTAGCTACAAAAAGTTTATTTAAGTAATCTTGACAAAGAGGCTTTACAATATGGGTTAGATCTGTAAATTGGCTGGCTTACTGTAATTTGAGAAACAAAACGGAACGAAAGTTTGCCGCTATTGCTGGGGTAATGGTACAAATCATTATAAAGTTTTTGGAGGCTCCACTGTTTCACAGGGTGATATCAACTGAGCTGTAGGTCTCTTATAAAGTTGGAAAGTTTGTAGTTTTGTATTATCTAATTTTTTATTATATGTATTTTTTTATTATATGTAATAGATGTATACGTCAATTAAAAGTACTATCGTGGCTTGAGATAAAGTTGACTTTCAGAGGAGAGTTAGAAGACGTGAGTTATACTCTACCCGTTTACCTTTGAAGCTAATTTGTTCAAAATAAACGTCCTGTAATCTTCCGAAGTGGACACACAATTTCTCAGCTGTCTGAGTAGACCTGGTAATTGTATATTGATCTAGAACAAATAAAATTGCATGGTCCTTGATTTTTACTTAGAATACGTGGCTGCTTCTTAGTTGAAGAAAAAACAAACAGTGAATGAGTGACAGTGTTCATTTAGTTCAGTTAGGTTACATAATAAACCAATTGCGATGTAGGGATATATTATCCATAACTGTGTAAATCATGAACTGAAGGCGATGGTTTTAATTACAAACTTTTGAGTTTTCAAACAGCATCCAAAATGGGTTCATTTACCAATAGCTGTTAGAAGGCAGATCTTTTCTTATAATAGAATGGTTGTGAATTTGCTAGAAAATGAAAATAGCTAGAATAAATGTTAGGTTTTGATCCATCAAAGTGTATTTAGTTTCTCAGTTAGTTTATAATGAATAATAAAACAAACAAGAAAATAGAATTTGTGACTTGAACAAATGGGAAGGCTAGATAGGAAATTATCTGGTCTTAGGTCATGACATAAGGACCGAGCCAACCAACTTAGAGTCTTATTTACTTGTTTTGGGCCCAACCTAACTCAGCCAATCTAGTTATCCAAACATCAGGCTGTGTGGCTTTACTAGCTCTGCCTTTACCATTACGTGTGGGCCTCACACGGGGATTTCGTCATGATGTTTGTGATTTATTTTTTTTGTTAAAAAAAATGTATTAACCACATGAGTGTATAGAGTGGTATGTTGCTCGTACCAATCAGATCGCCGCATTTGGTTATGTACCTTGCACCAACCAGATTGCCGCATTAGAGTATGCATTTCTGACTCATCGCATTGGGGCATGTTTGCCTCATTGGGTACGTATACGTATTGTCTCTCGTGTCGATCATGTCATAGAATTAGGGTGTCGCGAAGTGTTGCAATTGAATTCACCCAACATTGACACACTAAGAACGACACTGCCAAAAATTATGAGCTCATCTATCCGGTGAAATAAGTCATTTTCGTGTGGACCTCGTCGCAGTGGTATGTCGACGTTACAAAAGTCGGAAGCGAATGTTTCTATCATCTAAATGTTAAAGTGTGTCCTGTGTACGGTTCTTAAACTCATTAATAATTTATGATGTTACAAGCCTACCAGAGCGCCCCATTCGGGTCAGGAGGATGACTTTGAAACTCAGTGAAACACCAGTAGAAAATAAGTGTTTCATCACGTTTACATCTCTACATATTCATAGATTACTTAATCTAAAACTTCATCAACTCAAAACGTTCCTCAAGTCGTTTCTTTGAAGGTCAGAATTTCCATCCTCAAACTACCGAGCTTCGTGCACGCTTTAAGCTTTTAATTCTGAAAGAATTATTTGGCAGGGATCTAACAGACGACCATGTTATTTCTACCATTATCAGTTTGTCGTCGTTGAAGTTTGTTATTGATAGATTGGCATATAGAGGGGTGAATGGGCTGAGTGATTGAAAAGATTTAAAAGGCCTCCAAGCAAACTTTGAAACATTTGTATCATAGGTATCTATCACAATCTGAGATTAAAACGTGACTTTTCGGCGACGACATGTCACCAATATCAAATGTAAATTCTTATAAGTTCAGTGACGTTATATAAAGAAAGGAAATTGTGAAATTTGTTCAGAATAAAATGAGACGGAGTAAAACAAAAGAATGTGGCTAAAAATGAGTAGAAATGTCCAAATTCAACAGATTAGCGAAGACTTACAGAAAGTGTCTCTGTAGTCGAACTCAAAAACTTACCTCATCGTTTTTCAACGAACAAGTTGTTTTGGATAATTCAGATATGAAATGAGTGATTGTTACATTGATTAATTCAATCGTAAACAGATACCTCACGTTTCAACCTTCTTAAATACCTTTGGTAAAGGATTGTTAATTCAGTCATAACCATTACCAAGAGAATATAAACTGAGTAGTTTATAATCTCTGCCATAACAATTTCTTCAAATGTGATTGATGCATTATAGCTGCTTCATTTTTTTCACTAATTATTCTGTAGGGTTGTAATGGGACATTAAATGCAGCCAATCATACCACCTCCACTTAGCTAAATCCACTAAACACAGAATTCATCACGATAACCACGGCAACATCCATTTATCCTAAAAACCTGGGGAACTTCCAAGCGGGAATTTTTTAGTTTAGACTTTTTCCTTACCCGAGATATTTCTCTAAATGTATTTTTTTTCGGAAATTTTATGGTTATGATTAATAGGTAACATAACTTCTTGTCGTCCAATTTCGTCTGTAATCATATTCGTAA